AGGAAATAGCATTTCTCGCATCCCCCACCCCCCACCAAGCCAGAAGATAGGCATAAAGGGGGAGGAAGCACTTTAAGAAAGTTTTCTGAGAAATTGAAACTTTAAAAAGACGGAAACATTCTAGTTTCGGTTTCAGAAAAAACAGAACCTGGCATTGCTTTTCTGCAGAGCACTCAGATTTGAGAACCATTTCCTCAAGCTGCAGACTCCTGAATAGATCAGCGCTCCTGGAGCTTTCTCTTCAGCACCCCAACCCTGTGGAATCTTTTAATTCCCAAGGTGAGTACTGATTGCCCGGAGAGACCCAAGCCACGCCTATTCATCAGAAAGGATGCTCTCAGACAGAGACCACAGAACTCTAAGATGAAAACCCACCCTATGGCTCTAGACCCTTCCAGATATACCCACTTTAGGTAGGAGAGGCTGAGGTGGACGTGTTAGGGTCACGCTTTTTATAAATTAATGAAACAGTGAAGAGAGTTGGCTCTTAGAGGGACTCACCGTGTAGCTGAGGCCAGGGATTCAGGATTCCAGCCCAGGGGTGCGAGACCTCTGGGGAGAGGTGTGGAGGCTTCTCAGACTTCTTCTCAGGAACAAACCTTCAGACAGGAGGGGTAGTGGGGAACTGGAGAGGGATGGATGCCTGTGAAGGGTCTTTATCAGTTATCCAGTTGGTTCATTTCTGTGAAAAGGGTTTTCTTGTTTTTCATCGTGTATACACTGTTTTGTTTCCAGGAGAAACCTAAGCTATACTGACTGGGAAGCTATGATCTAGTTGGAGTTTTGAAGTTATTACTGCAAGTGTTGCAAAAGTGCATTTGGTTATTTTGTTTACCAAAATTAATTAAAGCAGATACTTGTGAAAGCCCTGGGGAGTGAACTTGCTCAGGTTTAATGAGTTGCCTCTGGAGTCCTTTTGGAGATGGGGTGCACAAGAATGCAAGATCATGAACAATTCAGCAGGTGGATGATAAAAGGAAAACGTAAGATACCTATTTTCCTAAGTAACCTAACCACAGGCAACACCTGGATATTTTCTCAGCATCAATTGGCATGCTCGTTTTAACACTGTTAAGGTATATTTATTACTTTCCCCATACAGATAAGATCCAATTAAATGAACTACCCAATGTGTGTGTGAGTCTCCCAGCACTGGAGGCTGTAACTGCAGCACTGAGGTGCGGGGGTGGGGGGAGGGACAGACGGACAAGGCGATCTACTCCGGATTCAGTGACTGTGACTGTGACCATTACCGGATGGCTCTTCCCTTGGCGGGCGAGGTGCGGGCGGACACTGGTGCCTGGGAGCAGACAGCGCCAGCTCGGAGGACTTGGGACGCCTCGCGGTAGCGGGTCCTTTCTTTGTGGATTGTTTTTGTCATAGCCCTGCTTCTCCCTTCCATTCTTCCCCTTCCACCCTCCGTCCAGGCTCCGGGGCCGGTCGCTCCTCGCACACGCAGGGGGGGCACACACAGGCGCACACGCGCCGGCCCCGCCCTCAGGACCCCGGCAGGCGGCCGGTGGACGCTGGGGAAGGGGCTCGGTGCTGCCTGGAGAGGCCCTGGAGATGCTTCTGCCCAGCAGGAAGAGTGGGGCCGGGCAGGGCGCGGGCGGGGGCGCCTGTGGTGTGTGCGGTGCAGGGGTGTGATGTGCAGCGTGAGGGGTGAGGTGTGTGCATGTGTGTCAGCTGTATGTGGTGTGTGTGAGCTGTGTGTGTATGGTGTTTGAGATGTGTATGTGATGTGCACGTGGTGTGTGTGTGTGAGATATTTGCAATGTGTCCGAGGTGTGTGTGACACGCAGGTGTGTGTACCTGAGGACTGTATATAAAGTATGTGAGACGTGTGTGGGAGGGGTGTGTACGTGTGTTCTGAGACTGATGTTAACTCTGGGCTTTCTCAAATTAAGAAAATGCCCTCCTGTTGCTATGCTCAAATAATGCTTCTCTAGAATACTTTGGAAATGTTATCAAACAATTTTCACTTTCTGTTAATTATTCATGTGACATTTTATATTAATTAAGTTTTTCTTGTATTGTACAATCTTGTATTCCGGGATAAAACCAACTTGAGGGAATGCATGTGTGTCTGTTTGTGTGTTTAGTAAGAGCGATAATACTTAAATAAGTACAAAGATAAGATAACAAACAGTTGTTACCCCCAATTTTTGTTTCCCAATTACTGCAAATTGTCAACTGTTGGCATTTTGCCATAGTTACTTAAAGGCTTTTTTAAACTCAAGAAACAAAACATTGTAGATAAATGTGAAGTTCTCCTTGCCTTCCAATTCCATTTCCATTTTCGTCCTTTTCTCAGAGGCTACCAGTACCCTGAATTTGCTGTATATCTTTACGGACTTTTTATTAACAGACAGTTTTACATAACACATATCCAGGAATAATAATCCCATTCTTGTGTGCGCATGTTTAGATTATATAAATGGTATAATTCTATAAGTATACTTCTATAACTTAATTTTTTTACTCTACATTTTGTTTCTGATATCTATGTCAATGAGTTTGTGTTAGTTTATTCTCTTAATGTGGTTCATAGTGTCCCTTTAAACAAACATTACTATATTGTATTTCTTCATTCCATTATTAAGCTATTTCCAAAATTTGGTGTTTCAAATACTGCTAAAATAATCATTTTCATATCTTTGTGAACATCGTTTTTTTTACAAGGTATAAACCAAAATGTGGAATTGATGGGTCAAAGGTTGTATATATTTTTAGTTTTACTAGAAACTACCACATTCTCTCCACAATGTTGCACTACTTTATATAGCTACCAATAATGAACAAGAGTCCCAGTTTTTCTCCATCGTGATCAACACATCATATTTCCAGGCTTACAGATGTTTGTTAGTCTAAAGGGAACAAAATGATATCTCATCTTTGGTTCCTTTACATTTCTCCAATTACTCTGAGGCTAAGACATCTTCTCATATATTTGTTTATTGGTCAATTGTGTCCCTCTTCTGTGAATATCTACTCATTTCTTTTTCCCGTTTCCCTACTGGGTTGTTCATTTTCAACTTCTGATACAATTCCTTTCATTGTGTGTCACAAATACAATCTTTTAGCCTGTACTTGTCTCTAAAAAGCTTTTTATTTTGAAATAATTATAGAGTCACAGGAAGTTTTAAAAGATAGTATAGAGGTCCTATGTACCTTTCACCCAGTTTCCCCCCATAGTTACACTACAACATCAAAACCAGGAAATTACATTGGTACCATGCATAGTTCTACTGTATATTTGTGTCCCCACCACTCCAGTCAAGATACGAAATAATCCCATCACCACAAAGATCTTCTTGCTGTCCCTTTACTGTTATACCTGCCTATCTCCCCACCCCCACCATCCCTAACCCCTGGCACCCACTAATCGTATTCTCTCTCTTTAATTTTGTAATTTCAAGAATGTCATATAACTAGAATCATACAGTATGTGACCCTTTGAGATTGACTCTTTTCACTCAGCATAATGCCCTTAAAATTGTGAACAGATGATTGACAGGAGCGACACCATCTTATTCCTGAATGCCATCGTGTAGCTGCCTGACTACAGATTGAATTTGCTGATGCTGCAGGCAGAAACTGCTGGTGCTGCTTATGAATACTTTAGGCTAACAATTGAACTATTCCCAAAACCCTTTTCATTTTTCTTTTCTTTTCTTTTCTTTTTTTTTTTTTGAGACAGGATCTTGCTCTGTTGCCTGAGCGAGAGTGCAGTGGCGTGCAACATCAGGGCAGCAAACAAACAAAATCAAAACTCTTAATCTTGTTAATTAACCAAATAATTGGGTTTTCCTTTTTTAATTTCCTTCTACACTGACATTTATTATTTCTGTTATTTTGTGTTCCCTTGTGACCTAGTTCCTTTTCTAAATTTT